CATGTTTATGATTGTTCTTTTAAATTCAGTGTCCTGGGTTATCTCTAGGAGGTTCTCCTTGTAGAACTCTTCTGTGGACTGGTGGAGTTTGGTGGGGACATTGTTTTGGCTTTCCATTTTATTATTTTTTTTTTCTTTTAAATATTTTATTTTTATTTTGTGTGAATGAGTGTATTGCCTGCATGTGTGTAAGTGCACCCAGGTTGTGCATTGCCCGCAGGGGTCAGAAGAAGGTGTCAGATTCCCCTGGAACTGGAGTTACGGATGGTTGTTAGCCACATGTGGGTGCTGGGAATCAAACCTGGGTCCTCTGCAAAAGCAGCCAGTGCTCTTAACTTCTGAGCCATCTTTCCAGGCCCATCCTTTGACTTCTGATCCTCCTGCTTTACCTCCCAAGTGGTGAGACTAAAGATGTGTACTGCCCTGCCATGTCTAGCTTATGCTGTGCTTGGGCTGGAACCCGAGGCTTCGTGCCTGCTGCTAGGCAAGCACTCTATCAACATCCCTAGCATTAAGTAGGTTTCTTCTATACAGTAAATAATTGCATCATACTTTTTCTTCTCATCTCAAAATGTTTCTTTTTTATACGTTTAGATACTTAATAAATTTATTGATGGTATTAATAATAATATTAGTCATCCTATTTTAATGTTTCCTCTGTGACTTGTTTCCTACCTTTTAGATGTTTTTTTTTTTTTCTCTCTTTTTTTGTTGTTGGTCTTTTTGAGGTAGGGTCTCCCTGTAGCTCCAGCTACCCTGGAACTCACTATGTAGACCAGAGTGGCCAGAGATCTGCCCGCCTCTGCCTTGGAGTGCTGAGATTAAAGGTGTGTGCCACCATGCCCGGCTAGGATTATGTTTTAAGTAGTTGCTCTAATGTGTCTAAGGCACACGCCTACACTTTTTTTTTAAACAGGGTCTCCCTAGTCCCAGCCTACCTGGAACTCACTATGTAGACCAGGCTCTCACAGAGATCCACCTGCCTCTGCCTCCCAAGGACTAGGATTAAAGGCAAATGCAACTATGCCCGGTGGCACACTCCTACACTTTAAATATTAAGGAAGATTTAGAAGCTTTTATTTTCTGTTTTTAAAAATATATACTTGTCACCAGGTGTGGTAGTGCACGCCTTTAATCCCAGCACTAGTGAGTTCAAGGCCAGCCTGGTCTACATAGTGAGTTCCAGGAGACACACACACACACACATATATATATGTCATATGTGTTCTGTGTATATACATTGAAAAAAAATCACCCATTAATGTAGTTTTTGCTTTAACTGCCGTATGTACATATTTTAACAAATTTAAGGTAATCTTAGTTTTTTTGTACATTTCTGTTGTGCTTTCTTATTTCTGAAGGTCCACATCCCCGTCTATGATCTGCAAGCATTACATATACAGGATACTTACATAAATGCAAAACACTCATACACATAAAATAAAAATTAAAAATCTCAGGACTGGAGAGATAGGTCAGTAGTTAAGAGCAGTGGCTGCTCTTGCAGAGGACCCAGGTTTGATTCCCAGCACCCACATAGCAGCTAACAGCTGTTTCTAACTCCAGTTCCCAGGTACCTGATGCCCTCTTTTGACTTCTGTGGGCATTGCATGGCACAAGTGCACTTAAATAATGTAGGCAATACACTCATACACAAAAAATAGTTTTTTTTTTAAATTGAGAAGGGGCTGGAGGGATGACTCAGTGGTTAAAAGCACTTCTTCGTCTTGCAGAGGACCTGGCTTCGGTTCCCAGCACCCACATCAAGGGGCTCACAATCATCTGTGTACCTCCATTTCCAGGGGATCCACTGCCTTCTGGCAGGGAATACACTCATACACATAAAATAAAAATAAGAAATAATAAAATATTTTTTAATTAAATATGTCTGAAAATGTAGTAAAAAATTTTAAAAATAAAATCTCTGAAAACATTACCATCTGAGTAATCTTGATGTAAGTGTTTGTGGTCTTTTCTTTAGTGAATTAGTCACATTTTCCTGGTTCTTTTTGTGTCAAATAGTTATGAATTCTATCCAGGACATTTATTCTGATACTGTTATGAGACTGAATCCTGTTGATGATGATATCTGGAGAACAGTCATGTTATTTGTCTTAGTTCGCAGTCAAATTTCAGATCTCACAAATTCTCTTTCACTTTGTGTCAATTTTTATGTCCTTTGTGTTGCTGCTTTGGTCTGTCTCGTACGTACTGGTCAGATTAGTGTGAGACTTGGGCAGTGGACTATGTCGAAGTTCTTTTCTCAAGGCCTTTTCTTAGTGTGATGGCTCAGGAGTATGCCCAGGTTTGTGCCAATGCATGTAGAGTTAAGAATTTCCCTTCAATTTATTCCTCTTCAGGATTCTTCTAATAGTTTTGTCCCTTAAAATCCCGTTCCTAATCCTTTAGCCAGAAAGGTGGAGTTTCTCAGGGAGTACTAGATTCTCACACCACCGATGCAGTAGTTCAAAACCACAAGGGAAAACAGAAGAAAAAACAAAACAGGAAACAAGCCAGTGTAGGAAGTTTAAGTTTGACTCCTTTTCACAGTCCAGTTGCTTTTGTTTACTTTTCAGTCATCAGTTTTTCTTTTTATATGTTGTCTAGAGTTTTAATTTAAGTAGTGGGAAAGAGAGAGGCTATACTGGATGTGCTGTTTGTCCTTGTTAGCACCTAAAACCTATTTAGTTTTTGATTTTCTGACAGAACTTTTAAACTGGTGACAGCAGCATAGGAAGTTTAGTTTTCAAATTTCTGGCAGCTGTACTCAAGTAAAATGTTATGTATGAAACTTCATTTCATATGGGTCAGAAAAGACTGGGGGTGAAGGTGGGTGAAGAGAGAGAGAATAGATGTGGCAGGATGCCAACAATTGGTTGGGTCTAGGGAAGGGTGTATGAGTACTCATTGATGCTTCCAGCAAGAATGCAGTTTTTATTCTCAGTTTTTAAAAAATATTTTATTTATTATTTTTATTTTATGTGTATGCATGTATTGCCTGCATATAGGTAAGTGCACCCATGTCATGTGACGCCCGCGGAGGACAGAAGAGGCTGTTGGATCCCCTGGAACTAGAGTTACAGACAATTGTTAGCTGCCATGTTGGTCCTGGGATTCGAACCTGGGTCTTCTGTAAGAACAGCCAGTGTTCTTAACTGCTGAGCCATCTCTCTAGCCCTATTCTCAGTTTTATAATAAAAAGTTGATGGGAAACTAGGTTTAATAAATTTTATGGTCTTAGTCACTCTGATCTTCAGATCAACCTGATGATGATTTTCAGAGTATTTTTAATTGATCAAACTTGCACATTTTGGGCTGGAGAGATGGCTCAGTGGTTAAAAGCATTGGCTGTTCTTGCAGAGGACCTGGGCTCAAGTCTCAGCACCCACATGGCAACTAAGAACTGTCTGTAACTCCAGTTCCGGGGGATCCAACAGCCTCTTATGACTTCCACTGGTATTGCATGACATGGGTGAACTTATATACATGCAGGCAATACACTCATACACATAAAATAAAATAAAAATAATAAAATAGTTTTTAAAAACTTGCACATTCGGAAGGAATCTAAATCATCCTAGCCAGAATGTTCTTGGGTCTTAAACGGGCTCTTTATTCTTAAGAGAGGTAGTGGTTTCCTTGGAATAGTTGTACATTTTTTTCTCCAGTCTGTTCCTTTTTGTGTGTTTGCTTTAACAAATTAGACTTTATTTGGTTGTTTTGCTTTTTTGAGACAGAGTCTCCCTGTAGCCCCAGATAGCCTTGGAACTTGCTATGAACAGGCTGGCCTCCATCTCACAGAGATCACCTACCTCTTCCTTCAGGGTACTGGGATTAAAAGCATATGCCACCAGACCCTGCCCAAATTAGAAAATTTAAGTGAGTACTGGCTATTTCAACTAAAAACTAATTGTCCTTTGTCTCACTTTAGACAATTCCAGGCTCGGGTGTCTCGACAAGCTCTCTTGGCACTTGAGAAAGAAGAGGAGGAGGAAGTTTTAGGATCTTCCATTCCACAGCGAAGCACATTAGCTGAGCTAAAGAGCAAAGGGAAGAAGACAGCAAAAGCTCCCATTAGCCGTGTAGGAGGTGCTCTGAAGGGTAAGTTTTTAACTGTTATTTTGGAAAGCCCTTAGTGGTAGGTAAATTATGTAAGAAGATATATAAATATACATTTGGACACTGTCCTAGTTTGCTGAATACTAGGTAGCAAAAAGAAAGCAGTCACAGGAAAGCTAATATCACAGGGTGCAATAAAAATCAAAAAATAATAGCAGTTCTGTGTTGCAATTTTCAAAAAAATCTGATACTTATGATATATCATTTTCTAAGAGTTGTTAGTTGAAAGAAGATATGTAGCGATATAGGTATTATCAAAATAAAGCTCACATGCATTAAATCCTCAGAAAGTGGTATTAATATCTTTCAGGGCTAGAGACATCACTGAAGTTGAGAGCACACATTGCTGTGCAGAGGACCTGAGTTTGGTTCCCAGTACCCATGTCAGGCAGCTTACAACTACCTATAACTGCAGCTCCAGGGAGATCTGATGGCCTCCTTTGGCACCTGCACTCATTTGTACATATACACACATATAAACATAATTTTAAAATAAAAAAATCTGTCACTCACTGATAAGTCGTAATTTAAAAAAAAAAAAAAATCTTATTTTTAGCCTTTTAGTGCCAGAAATGAACACTCTTTATACACCCAAAGATGATCAACAGTAAGCTTTTCTTTTATTACTCTTCTTATTGAGTTAGAGTCTTATATATAGTCCAAGTTGGTCGCAAACTTACTATATATTGTAGACTGGCCTTGAACTCTGATCCTCCTGCCTCCACCTCCTGGGTGTTTGACTTTGTAGGCATGTTTGCCACACTTTAAACCTTTTTCTTTTTAATTAACAATGGCTGTTTTTCAAAGTTGCTTTAGGTTCACAGCAAAATTGTCCACAAAGTACAGAGAACAATAAGCTTTTGTTCCCTGAATTTATAGCAATTAGACATGTAGACCAGACTGGTTTTTATAGTCCCTTACCTTGTCCCTCTCCTGGTATAGATTTGTCAATAGTCCATATGTGGTTCAGAGATGCTAGAATTATGACATAAGGAATGTATAGTGCCAGAGGATATTTCATGATGAAGATCACAATGAAGCTAGTGGTGATCTCACAATAGAGAATACCCCTAATAAATGGGTCAATTTTGTGTTCTCGAATTTAAGGCATCTCTTAATTTCCATTGAGAAAAATTTTAAAGCTGAAAAACGCTTACATTAGTTCCTGGTAAAGCTAGATAATGTAATAATGAAGACTAATGGAAAATGTAGAATTTTATTTTGAGACAGGGTCTCCTTGTAGCCCCAGCTGGCCTGGAACTCATTATGTAGACCTGGCTGGCCTCAAACTCATAGAAATCCACCTGCCTCTGCCTCCCAAGTGCTGGGATTAAAGGTGTGCATTACTAAATGGTACAACAGAAGGAAAAATAAAAGAAAGGGAAAATAAGATAAAATGGATAAAAATGTTATTAGTTGATTCATTGAGGGTTTTTTATTTTAAGATTTATTTTATTTTTAATTATATGTATATGTGTATGTGATAGTATGGGGGTATGCCCATGTGAGTGCAGGTGCCCAGAAGCCAGAGAAGAGTAGTGCAAGTGGCCTTATGTGGGTGCCGAGAACTAAACCCAGGTCCTCTGCAAGAGCAGTATGTGTTCTTAACATTGAGCCATTTCTTAAGTCCCCATTAAGGTTTTAAAAGAAAAATGTTTTAGTCTAATTTTGATTCTGTGGTAGAGGAGGTATCCTCCTTGATTTGGGGCCAAACAAATATATCTGATTTTACATGAAATTTTTAATACTTTTCTCCTAGCTCCAGGTCAGAGCAGAGGATTCCAAAATATAGTTCCTCAGCAGATGCAAAGTAATCGCAGAATTACTGTTTTTGATGAAAATTCTGATATCACTTCTAGAGCAGAGTTATCTAAGCCCGAAGTCCAGCCCTGGATGGCACCCCCTGTTCCAAGGGCCAAAGAGAATGAGCTGCAGCCAGGCCCTTGGAACACAGGCAGGCCTTTGGAATACAGGGTAAGGACTCAGATTGAGTTATTTGTCTATAGAATCAAGACTTCAGCTTTAGAGTACCAGGAATATTCTCATTCTCATTCTCTCATATTCATTCATATTCATTCTCTGTCTCTGTCTCTCTCTGTCTCTCTTTCTCTCTCTCTCTCTCTCTCTCTCTCTCTCTCTCTCTCTCTCTCATTTGTTTGAAGCAGTGTCTTATTATTTACCTTACCTTGAACTTGTTGTGTAACCCAGGCCAAACTTAAACTTTCCAAGCTCCTCTCTCAGCTTCCAGCCTCCTGTGTGCTAGCATTATAGATGTGTACCGCTTTGCCTGGCTCTATTTTTAACATTTCTTAACTCCTTGAGTATTTAGACATAGCCTGTATAAGTTGTGGCAGGATATAAAATTGATAATTTAAAATTTTTCCTTCACTTCTAGCCTCATGGCAGTACAGCTTCTTTAACAGCTGTACCCCCTATGCTTCCCAGCTTTACTCCATATGTGGAAGAGACTGCACAACAACCAGTTATGTGAGTTTGATTTCCAGATATTTTGCGTTGAGAATTACTAAGGGTGGCAGAAGCACTTGTTATAGTCCCCTAACGCATTTTCTTCTTGTGGGAGTAAAAGTAGCTAGACAAAACTTTTTGTATCCTTTATATTCTTTGAGTATGCTAGGGCTAAATCGGAATGAACTTAATAATTAGGTTTATGGTTATATTGCTGTAACAATCATAACCACTGTGATTTAAGTGTGATATTTTGCTTTCGTTATTGACAATCTTAGAAATTAAAGAGTTTTCTCTCAGTAGCTTACTTTTCCTTTCTTGGCACCCTTTTTCCCTTCTCCCTAATCTTTAGCATTTTTGTTGTAAGAAAAATTGATAGGTGGTGAATAAATAATTTGTCCTAGTTTATTTCTCCATTGCTGTGACAAAATACTCTGACCACTACCAACTTGGGGTGGAAAGGATTTATTTGTCTTATATCTCCCAGGTCACAGTTCATCAGGGAGCCTAAGGTAGAGACTCAGGGCAGGAACCTGGAGGCAGGAGCTGGAGCACAGGCCATGGAGGAATGCTGCTTACTGACTTGCTCCCCTAGTCCCTGCTCAGCCTGCTTTCTTATGCAACATAGGCCCACCTGCCCAGGGGTGGCACCACCCACAGTAGGCTGTGCCCTCCCACATTACTCAACAATTAAAAAGATGCTCCATGGACATGGCCACATGCAGTCCAGTGAAGGCAATTCCCCAATTGAGGCTCCCTCAACCCAGGTGTGTTAAGTTGACACTAAAGCTATCCAGCACATAATTAGCCTGAAATTTAGTCTAATATTTAAAGATTGTGTGTTCTAATAGAGGTTCAATTCTGTGTCTCAGTATAATAGCTAGCTTATAACTCCCACTATATGCTAGATACTATATGAATGCAAAAGTCAATACAATTTTGAGCAAAAATTCTATCTGAACTGAGCACAAAACAAAGAAAGCTATTGTGAAATTCACATTGGCCTTTATAGAAATTGATAGCATGCATTTATATTAATGTTTAATGTCTCTAATGTTTCATGGCACTGTGCAGAAGTGTGGGTTTTGACAAAATTGATATGAGTATTTGACTTTATTTAATTCTTTTTTAAAAATTCATTTACCTTTTTTTTTTTGTCTTTATGAGACATGGTCTTCTCTGTAGCCCCAGCTGGCCTGGAACTCACAGAAATCCACCTGCCTCTGCCTTCTGAGTGCTGGGACTAAAAGTGTGCACCATCACACCTGGCACTATTTTTATTTTTTTATTTTATTTTTTTTTTTTTTGAGACATGGTCTCACTAAGGGCCCTGGCTGTCCTTGCTATGTCAGCCAGGCCTGCCTCTGTCTCTGAGTGCTGGGACTAAAGGCGTACGCCACCTTGACAGGCTTTTAAATTTATTTTTATTATTGCATGTGTACGTGTGCAGGATGTGTTTAGATGAACATGCCTTGGTGTACATGTGGAGGTCAGAGGACAACTTCATTGGTTCTCTCTTTCCACTTTTAGCATGGATTCTATGGATCAACCTCAGATTGGCAAGCTTGCACAAGTACCTTTACTTGCTGAGTCATCATATTGGCCTTAAATTCTTTTTAAAATTTTCACCTAATTAAAATATTTTATCATATTTATTTATGTGTGTTGTACATGTAGGTGGAAGGCAGAGGACAACTTGCATGGGTTGCTTCTTTCCTTCCACCATGTGGGTTCTAGAAATTGAACTCAGGTCTCAGACTTGGTGTGTCTTTACCACTGAGCCATCTTGCCATACCCCTAAACTCTTATTTTATAGGTGTTTTATTTGATGTCACTACACATTTTTCTTTAGGTTGAGTTCTCTTGTTTGCTTGCTCACTCACTCTTGCTTTCACTCTGTTGTTGTTGAGGTTAAAAAACCCAGGACCTTTCTTCATGCTATGTAAGCACTCTGCCATTGAGCTAAACCTCAGGCCACCTACCACCTACCCCTCCTTTTTTAAGGTAGGTCTTGCTATGTAATTCAGACTGATCTCCAACTTGAAATGCTTGTGCTTCTGCCTCCCAATTGCTAGGATTATTGGCAAGTACCTCCATGTCCAGTCAGATTGTGTTTTTCTTTTCTTTCTTTTTTTAATTATTATTTTATGTGTATGAGTGCATTACCTACATGTATATAAGTTCACCCATGTCATGCAATGCCTGCAGAGGTCAGAAGAGGGCATTAGATCCCCCGGAACTGGAATTACAGACAGTGGTTACCCACTGTGTAGGTGCTAGGAACTGAACCCTGCAAGAGCAGCCAGTGTTCTTAACTGCTGAGCCATCTCTCTGGCCCCAGATTGTGTTTTTCTTAACAATTTGTAGTTACTCTTCATAAGTTAAGAGAATCAATTATTCTTTGCGGGCATTTCTCCAGCCTAACCATGTTAATTAGCTTTCTGTCACTATAACAACTACTTGAGACAATCAGCTTATAAAGAAAAAGAGATTTATTTTGAGTTATGGTTTTGGAAGTTTCAATATATGAACATTTGGGTCTGTGATGAGGCAGCACATTATAGTACAAGTATATGGCAGGCAACACTGCTCACCTCATGGCCAGAGAGCAGAAGAAAAAGGAAGGGACTAGGATCTCACCATCCCTTTCAAAAGCATACCCCCAATGATATGAAGACCTCATACTAGGCCCCACCTCTTAAGAGTTCTACTACCGTCCAGTAGCACATTGAACTGTGGGTCAAGCTTTTAATACATTGTCTTTTGGGTGACACTTATCCAAACCATAGCGTTAATTTCCCTGCCTTCAGTCTTACTCTTCCTGTCCATTCTCTGTGCTGTTACAGTTCTACAGTTCACATCTGATCAGGTTGGTTCCTTGATCAAGATCACTTGCTAGCTTCCCATAACTTTTTGGAATGAAACCAAAATTGAGCATTCATTGTGCAATTACAAACAGAAAGTACTTCAGATATTTTTCTAAACCAAAATAACTATGTAAAATGAATTCATACATTGTTGGGGAACCCTGCTGCTAGGGTTGTAGTCCTCCACGTCCAGATAGCGCTAAGGGGCTCGGCACTATATGGAAGGACTCCCCTTCTCAACGGGGGCCTCCTGCTCTCTGCCTGACTTACCTGGAAAGTGCTGCTAAGTAAGGATTCCTGACCTTATTTGGAACATGACCTTTGGCATAGTTACCTGGAGTAAAAACTACTCCCCACCCCCGTTTTTTTCGATATGATAATTAGGCATGGCCCGATAGATGGATGATAGGAGCCTACTGCCACATGTAAATAAAGCATACTGTGAGCACCTATCAGCTGAAGCATTGGCTACTGCCTCCACACTATATTTCCCCTAACCCCCACTGAATAAACGGAGCTGTTTCACTGAGTCTGGAGCTGTTTGTATCACTGAACCTGCCTCCCCAGAAGGGCTTTCTTCCGTCAGTGCTCACTGGCCATCCCTGACCCCGTTCATCACTTCTGCTCCCTTTGTCCTCGTGGACCGGTGGCCAAGGACCCACAAGGAAAGGGAGAGACCCCACAATATATGAATTTTAAAGCTACCAGAAAACTTTTGAGATAATTAAGATTTGAGCTACAATAGGCTTTGGCAGTCTACCTCTCCTGCCCTGACATTGGCATTACCCAAGTAGACTCTTGGGCTGGCTGCACTTGATGCCTGCAGTTTCCTTGGCAGATGTTTTATGTTCCTGGCATCTCCATTGCAACTTAGGCTTCATTTTCACAGATTTACACATAGCTCTCTCAAGAGCTGCATGCAGGTAATCTGACCCTGCTGTGTATCTGGTCTCATTGACTTTTCTCTGGAACCTTGGTGAAAGCTTTCAAGAGTTATAACTCTTGCATTTGACATGTCTACAAAATCAGTACCATAAGATGGCAAGTTCTGTAACCACCTGGAAATGTATGTGAGCCCCCCCTTGAACCATGCTTGCCCTACTGAACCTGGGGAAAAACTGTTCTCTAAGTGGTCACATTCCAGTAGTGAACTCCTTTAACTCTGTAATTTTTGGCACTCTGTTATGAAGGGAAACTCTTTCAAATGGATTTGAATTTTTTTTAATATTTTATTATTTTTATTTTATGTGTACGAGTATATTGCCTGCATGTATGTGAGTGCACCCGTGTCGTGCAGTGCCGTGGAGGTCAGAAGAGGGCTTTGGATACCCTTGGAACTGGAGTTAAGGATGATTCATAGCTGCCTTGTGGTGCTGGTAATCGAACCTGGGTCCTCTGCAAGAGCAGTCAGTGCTCTTAACTACTGAGCCAACTCTCCAGCCCCGGATTTGAATTTTTTTTTTAAATTTTTATTATTTTTAATGTTTATGCATGTATTGCCTGCATGTAGGTAAGAGCACCCGTGTTGTGCAATGCCCACGGAGGTCAGAAGAGGCTGTCAGATCCCCTGGGACTGGAGTTAGGGACAGTTGTTAGCTGCCATGTGGGTGCTGGGATTTGAACTCGGGTCTTCTGCAAGAACAACCAGTGCTCTTAACTGCTGAGCTATCTCTCCAGCCTCGGATTTGAATTTTTATACTCTGGGACCTTCTGTAGATCAATGGGAGGACTGATGCACTTAAAGGGCTCCTTTTTTATTATGCCAGTGTAAAGTCAATAGTTTCTGCTTAAGGTTTGTTTTGTTTTTAAGACAGTGTCTCACTATATAGCCCTGGCTAGCCTGGAACTCTCTTGTATACCAGTTTGGCCTTGAACTCACAGAGATTCCCCCTTTCTTTGCCTCCTGAGTACTGGGATCAAAGATGTATATCACCACACCCTGCTCCACCTTATTTGAGACAGGGTCTCACTACACCAAGCTCACTGAGTGGCTAACATAGCTGCCCAGCAAGCCCCAGGAGTCCCCTGTCTAGAGTTTCAGGTGCTCACTGTCATGCTTTGCTTTTTGTATGGGTGCTTGGGATCCAAACTGGGGTCCTCATACTTGTGTGGTGGCAAGCACTTTATTGACTGAGTCATCTCCCCAGCCCAAAC